TAGAGCAGCTCAAGGTTTAAGTAAAGTAAACGATCGCTTCATGAAGCCAACGGGGCGAATTTTCAACAATTTACAAACTGACACAATGTATATATATGTAAATTGCCATTAAAAAATTAAATAAATTCAGCATTGTGGAACATGAAACATATCTTTCATTGAGGTGAGTGATAAGGATTGTACGATCAACTAACGGCCTAGTCAGATCTGCGATTACCCCGCGCCTGTATTTGGAGGTACGTGCAGGAAGGAGTTGCTATTTGGAACGCAACTACGGGGATTTGACACGGCTTTCACGATTTCCGAATGCAAACAATGCCCTTGATCGCGTGGTATCATATCAATAAACGTATCACAAGCTTGGAACTCAACCAAAACAACTTCCAGTGTATCGGAACAAACGTTTGAGGGAGATCTGGAGAAAAATGAAAATCTGAAAAGCTCTGGAATCACACTATGACAGAATGCAAAGCAGCACAGTTAGCAAGCACTCCTTCTGGAGGCCGGATGTTCTGGTTACTTGCTAAGGCAGTCGCCCGTAACTTCTGTTCCACTAACTTACCACTCATTGTTAAACCACCTGATAATTTAGTGTCCGATCCGTTTGTCTCCCATTTTATTTTCAGCTCTACCCTACTCGAATCACCCATTCAACTCTTCACATACGCTACAGCGAACCATCTTTTCACACCACTCATTTTCACCAGAAAGATACGTTAGATCATCTTATCACTACACCCGCACAAGCCAACTGGACCTGATGTGAGTCCACCCATAGTCCTCAAAATGTTCACTCCAGAACTGGCTCTTCTCTTGCACCGCTTATTTGCATTATTCCTCGATTCTGGAGTATTGCCAACTTCATGAAATATCAGCAACATTTCACATCCCCAAATGCTGCGACCACTCAGAAGCAATAAATAACCACTCCCATCTCTCTCATCGCAGTTATTTCGAACGTCATGGAATCAGTCATTGCCGATCAATTCCGTCACCACCTGGAGCGGAACGAAATGCATAACAACCGTTAGTACAGTTTCCGTTTTCATCCGTCTACCGGTGATCTGGCGCTCATTTCGCATACATGGTCCGGACCAATCAACATTCATGGAGAAACCCATATGATTTCACTGAACTCATCGAAAGTTCTCGACCAAATCTGGAATGCAAATATGCCGGCTAAACTACCAAGATTTGGTTTCCTTTCCTTCCCTTTTCGGATGTTCATTGGTTTCTTTTATTTCGTCAACTTCAAATCCTATTCCTGCTTTTTTG